CATAACCTTGTGAGGTCCTCGGTCCCTGCGTTCCCGATAGAGTGTGTAGAAGGAGAACAGGGTATCGCTATTGCTTGTTCATTGTCCTCGTTGATGGTTTGATTCCTGATTGCCCGGACTATTGGATGCTTCAAGTACGAGACGCATGCATCCTTGAGCCTTTGGTGGCTGGGTGCCTCCCATTCGAATCCAAGCTGAGGCCACAGCTCTTGTAGACCTTTGTCTTTGACTAAGAAGTCACGCACTGACTCATGAATGAATTGCACTGTCGGCTGCCTAGCCTTGGTGATCTCTGCAAGTCCTTTGGAAGAACTCGTTACGAGTTTGAAAGCTTCCGAATCTGAGTCGTCCGGCAATTCCTCATCGACGAGACCTTTTTCTAGTAGCCCTGCCCACATGGCATGACGGAATTCTGTCGGAGAAAGTGGCTGTTTCGCGCAAAGTATCCAAAGAACGCAGAGTAGTAAGTGCTCCGGGTTGCTTCCGTCTCGAGTCAATATCCGTTTGAAGAGTTCGCTAAGCTCGGAGGGTATTTCTGATAACCTTTTCCGTAGGGCGAGGGCACCATGGTTACTTTCACTGTTCAGTATCTCCACGACTAGGACAATCCACATGAAGATTCCGGAAGCCTTTTCAAGAAGCCGGGACTGCAGCTCCTCGGCAAGCGGATTCTCGACCACCAAACGGGACTTGACGTAACTTGCCAAGTCCTCCGAATGTCCTATTTCGCCCTCAAGCGTAAGTATCGCCCCGCGACGAATTTTGATATATGGGTATGGTCGGCTTGAGAAACAAATATGGAACTGTATATCATCTTCGGTAGTGGACTCTGCAAGTTCCTCGAAAAATTGCACCATATCTCGTACTTGAAGCTCGTCGCACTCATCAAGAGCATCGATAAAGCAGATGAATGACCGATTGCCAAGCGCCACAACGGCGTTCTGAAGGAGCTCCTTCAAGACATTGAGACCAGGGCAGTCTTGCTTGTTGATAGGTATTACTTCAGGGTCCTCTAGGACAGACTGAAGATCTGGGACCTGTTCGAGGAGCTGGACCAGAAGCGATCGGTACATGCCCAAAATTGATTTTTCGAGTTCCATGCCTCGCGCATTGAAGAAGAAGGACGCAACAATGGTATCAGGGCTTTTAACCTTTTCTTTCGTTCTTTGGTAAATGAACTTCATCATTGTCGACTTTCCGGCGCCTGCCTTCCCTCTCATCCATAAGAATCCGTGGTCGTGTTTCTGCATCGCAGGATTGAGCCAGTCCAGATAGGTCTTATGCTGAAGAAACCAGCGACAGGTTTTCCTGTGTGCTTGTTTGATAGTCGCTTTGCGAGTCTCCAGATCGTCGAACCTGAGGACTTTAAGTAATTCTTGGCGCCGAGTCAAACCATGACCGCCTGTGACACATTGCTTGTCAGTACAGTATTGAAACTGATAGAGCCTGGAGTCCTCACTGGCTGCCTCACTTGCGCCGGCGCTGGTAGGATACATTGGATCATGGACGTGTTCCCTACGCCATACAGGAAGTCTCTCTACCAATTCTCTCGCATATGCGGCCGCGGTCGCGGGCAGCATAGTCTTGCCAACCTTTGTTCTTGTGCGAATCAGAGTAATCGCAGATTCCTCGAATCGGCAAGCATTCCAGGTTATCCATCATGCCAGCGGACTCCATCTCGAAGCACATTGCCGATAAATGTCTAGCAATATCATCTCGAGTCTTCCCGTCCTTGATGACACTGTTCCCTGACGCGATGACCCCATAGTGAATTATGGGGTCCTGGATATCACGCTTGCCGCGCATTTGTAATTTCCCCAAGTCGCAATCGTGGCAATCTGGTGAATCGGCTGGATGTTCATATGCTGCTTGGAAAAGGTGATCAGGCTGAGTTGGGCGCGGATGGTTCTGCAGCCTTTCATGTAGGATGCGAACCATTCTAAGGCTCGAGATTGCAGCCCCGTTGTTTACGCCTGGCTGTAGCCTATGGCTTGCTTGTAAATCCGTGATGGCAGAACGTAGTCGTAACGAAGGAATCTTGGCGACGGCTGTTGACTGAAACTGTCCCGCTGTGTGTCTCTTCCCCAGATCGTACTGCATGACTCTGGTTCCGACGACGACATCGCCAAGGTACAGGTCGGCCATGCTGGGCGACCCGCCACCGATACCCACCATCAAGCTGACTATGACGCTCGGGAAGCTTCTCTTTAAGTCGGTTGCAACGAGTGCGGCGTTATTATTGCCGTACTGTCTTGGAAGACATGTCATGACGATGTTCTGATGACCGATGTGCCCCAGCACATATTGGTTGTTGTCGCTTGCTGGGATGACTGGCGCTTGGTGCTCTTCGTCGAGCATGGCGCGCGACGCGGCGAGTTCAAGAGGAAGCGCACAGATCCAGGCTATTGTATATTTGTGCATCGCTGAGGAGGGGAGTGCGTCGTGCGGGGCTAGATTGCTGCCAGTGTCAGCGCGGACGCTGATGTCAAACGCTTTCGGCCTCTTTGAATTTTCCGACTGAGATTCATCGTTGTGGTATGGGCGTTTCGAGTTCATGGCTGGGCTCTATGTGGAGTGGATACTGATGGATGTGGTGGCGGTGGGATCCGGGTTGTGGCGAGGAGATCACGAACTTGAGCCTTTAGATACCGAGTCAAAATGTGTTTGTCACGTGGAAAAACACGCTCCAGTCCTGTCCCTGTCCGCAAGGCTGTCATGAGGCGACAGGCCTCTGCTCGACGCCGAGGACTGATATGTGGTTGGGGCGAAGGGCAGCTAAAATACGCCCAATAGAAACTATCTTGCGTTTAGGGGCGAATCAAAGCAAACATGATTTTGGTGCACAGCACCCTATACCTGACTGATAGTTCCAGCTAGCACTGAACCAACGAAATGGATGCTCCAAAGCCGCAATGCCCACGCAACAACGTAGGGAGACTTGTAGTGCAAATGACTGCTGGCTGGGTAGCACCACAAGAACACCGAACCCCAAAGCGGGGCCTTCAGGTTGCGGCACCCTGGCACATGATCTGTTGGTGGTGGTGCATTGCCGACGATTGGGTGCCATGATGACCTCCAAAAGCCGTAGCCTTGTTACTTACCCAGGTACTCACAACAAACAATTCAGTGATCAATTCACTGTGCCTGGTCCGTCTGCGGATGCTAGTCTGGGTTTTCTAATGGGCTATTCCAGGAACTCTTCAAAGGAGGTAAACCTTCTAGCCCAAACATTTCACAACGAGTTGTCCCACCTTCACCGACCTTTCCTTCCTTTGGGTTTGTGTGGATCTATCAACTACCACAATGGCGTCCGATGATAGACCGTTTCCTCCTGGGCTCGGTGTTGACGATATCGTCGCCTGGGGCAGTACCGGTCTCATTGTCCTCGACTCAGCCATACCCTTGGGTATCGGAAGCCGCTATCGGATTGCGAGAGAATGGGAGATTTACAAGAGGTTAGCTGAAAGAGGGCCGCATCAGGGCATTCTTCATATCACGGCGAATTCGGGGGTGGCGCAATCCGTCTCGATTGTGCATCAAAAATTGATTTACAATCTTTCGTGAAGTGGCAGGAGGTCAACTCAGCTCTTCGGCTCCGCTGGATGACTCAAATAGCGGGTTTTCTTGCATTCATCCACGATGCTGGTATGATACACGGAGACCTTACACCTGCGAAAGTGTTTTTGGACGATGAGCTTGTTGCTAAGCTTTCCAACTTCGCAGGATCCTCAATCAATTCGCCGCCTCTCCTGACACAAGTCCCTCCGAGCCATCAGTACATAGAAGACCCATTGTCGATAGATGGAGATATGTTCGCATTCGTCGCCCTGATGCAGGAGCTCATGATCGGGAATAGACCTTATGCCAACCTCTACGAGACTGATGTTGAGGCCCCGTTCGAGAAGGGAGGACTTCCTGACGTGGCCTGTCTCTGAAGTCTGGGGAACATTATCAAAATTTGTCAGATGGGAGGATACGATTCAACGCAGTTGTTGCTTAAAGACCTCAAATGTCTGTATCCAGTATATCTCGCCCAGTGCTTTGAAGCTAAACCCCCCTTATGGGTCCTGAATACAACAGCCGCGCACAAACGAGGCGACAACATCCTTAGGTCCTTGTAGTCCTTTTTCGGATTTCTTTTAGCCGGAATTATAGCACCAGATCGACTGGAACGCCTCAAAAGCTAGGAGAGAGAGACGGGACTGAGGTAAAATCCCAGCTATCTGCCTGATATTTCTCGCATACTTCAAGTATGAGCCTTCCAGAGGCGGAATTCGCTTCTTATCCTCGACCATCTGCTCAAGAGATGCTCACTGGATAAAGCGTGATTCAGCAGTATCAAAGGGCTAGCCTAGAAGCCGAATTCTGATATTGAAGTGAAGCTTTTAGTGGGTATGTGTAATGATTGAGGATGCAGTGTATCCTCGAACATCGACAGCAGGCTCCGATAAGGCTGTAGGACGTGACAATTATTGAGCCGGAAAATTGTGTATTGCTTCAGACTGATAAGTTCACATTTATAGCACTACTAATAATCATAGCCTCCCAACTGTGCCTTATAAGCGGTATCGCTAGAGTCTTTGGAGTCAGTTTACCTCGTTAGATAAGTGCAGTATATAGGAAACGCTGAGATCGGCAAGGATGAACCCCGATCGGAGCGGGCTCGCCACATGGGTTCGGCGTGGCTGAGGCGTTCAGGCATCAGTTCTCCTCGTTTTGTCTCAAGCGAAGGGCGAGTAGTGCAGTTGAGCCAAGCAGGTGCGTAACAATCAGATCGAATAGCTCTACCGGGGTTGATGGTCAGTGCATCCGTGTCGTGCCGATCCCTTTGTGCCTCAACCCCGCATCCTCTGGGCCAGCGTGCTGCGAGCCAAGGCCCTATTCCCACCATCTTGTTCGCGTTCCCCTGCCACTCTCCGAGCAGCAGGACTACCACAGCCCGGATCATGAGAGACTGCCAACAGAATTTTGTAGGAATGAGCCCGGGGGTAGCTGAGCGAGCGGTGGCTTGCCTGTGTCAGTTCCCTGTTGGCGCTATCCCTCGGACCGCCCAATTTACGTCGCGACCCGTCTCCACGACTGGTAAGCCGCTCCAATTGTAGCCGATGGCGGATGGCTGCTAACTATTCTTGGACAAATCTCGGGGTATCTGCACTCAGGTCGCATCTTGGCGAAACCGAGCAGCCTAGAATATGGTCGACAGTGCAGAAACCTGCTGCCAACGCTTTCACCCGGCTGATGTCAACCGAAAGGGCATGGGCCAATTCTCCATCCTCTGTTTCTCAGCCTAGGACACCGGGGGTTTCGGAGCCGGCGACCAGGCGCGATCCCCAGACCTAGATCGCAGCCATCTCACCAACCAGACAGCTGCTGAAAGTGATAGGCAATACTATTTGCCGTTTGAGAACCACCGCTTAACCCCGCGAATTACACGCGACCACACTTTGCTCGCTCCCCCCAAACTGTCACCGTAACCCCAGATGTTCGGTCCGAACCCGGTTTTCCTGCACCTCAACAAGCATCCGAACCAAGGAACGCTCCCACGAGTCGTATCGTCTGGGGTCCCCAGGGGAAGCAAAATGGGGCCATGCGGGATGCCACAAGCTCATGAGGGGGGTTCCATCACCAGACGATCACCATGTGCATCGCACTGCAATGACGGCTCCGAGTTTCCGGGACGTGTATTTAAATACCGGCAAGATGCCTCTTCCGCTGATCGTTCAGTTCAGGCTCCAGTAGTTGTCAATCCGATTTCGCTGCAGTGTTGCATGGAACATTGGTGCCCCCAGAGCCACTTCAACAACCATGGCGAGCCCGCAAGATACCAAGACCGCTGCCCCGGTCGACGTCCCCAGCGACGAGAAGCAGCATGTTGCGCATGCCGATTCTCCTGAAGACGACCTTGATCCGGTTGGCATTGCCGCCGAGATTGCGCACGAAGTTAATGAGAACAACTATTCACCATGGACCAAGTCCATGTTCCACCTCTATGGTGTCTTGTTCGTCGCATGTAAGTATTACCCAGCGTGACTGCCTTGGACAACCGGTGCCAGAGCTAACGCCACTATTAGACTGCTGCGGTTGTCTCAACGGATACGATGGAAGTCTGATGGGCGGCCTGAACGGCATGGTGTCGTACCAAACCACCTTCAACATGACGTCTGCTGGATCGGCCACGGGCCTTGTTTTCATGATCTACAACGTTGGCCAGCTGTCGGCCGCGCTCACTGTCCCCATCGCCACGGATCTCTTTGGTCGCCGCATTGCTATGTTTATGGGAGCCCTTATCATCATCCTCGGCACCTGCGTCCAGTAAGCTGCTCCGTGGAAATGAACAAAGATTGTGTCGGGACTTGGCAACTAACCACAACACAGAGCAACGGCAAACACCATGAGCCAGTTCATGGGAGGTCGCTTCGTTCTCGGTTTCGGCGTGTCGTACTGCTGCATTGCTGCGCCAACCTACGTGAGCGAGCTTGCACACCCCAAGTGGCGTGGAACCTTGACTGGTCTCTACAACTGCATGTGGTACGTCGTAACAATGATGAAATGCGAAGTTTGAAGACACATGCTTAAACGCTGTTACAGGCCTCTCGGTGCCATCATCTCGGGATGGACCGTGGACGGCGCCAGCTTCATCGCCGGGAACAATGAATGGCGTATCCCGGTGTGGATCCAGCTTGTACCTCCGGAATTGTCCCAGCTTTGTCTACTTCCTCCCAGAGTCGGTAAGTCATTCGGAATCTCAATCAAAACGGCTGAAAGCTGACATGTGAAAAGCCTCGATGGCTCATTGCCAACGACAAGCATGACGAAGCTGCTCGCATTCTCGCCAAGCTCCACGGTGAGGGCGACGTCGAGCACCCCATTGTTCAGCTGCAACTCAAGGAGATGATGGCTCAGATCTCGACCGAGGCCTCGGACAAGCGCTGGTGGGACTACAGGGAGCTCTATAACACGCACAGCGCCCGCCGTCGTCTCATCTGCGTGCTCGGCATGGCCATCATGGGCCAGGTACGTCATAAGAATTATCAGGCTCCCAGTGTTCAGCGGTCATCTAACTTTTGCAGGCGTCTGGAAACTCTCTCGCGAGTTACTATCTCGTCACCATGATGAACACTGCCGGCATTAAGGACGAGAAGCTGGTTCTCGCCCTCAACGCTGTCAACTCGATGCTTGGTTTCGCCGGATCCATCGTCGGCGCCCGCCTCACCGATCGCGTCGGCCGTCGCCCTCTGCTGATCTACAGCATCCTCACCGCCTCGGTCATCTTCGCCGTCATCACGGGCACATCCAAGATGGCCGTCGACAACCCCGACAATACCAACGCCGCCAACGCCACCATCGCCTTCATCTTCCTCTTCGGCGTCGTCTTCTCCCTCGGCTGGACGGCCCAGCAGAGCATGTACATCGCCGAGACCCTGACCACGTCGACCCGCGCCAAGGGTACGGCCATTGGCAACTTTGCGTCGAGCGGCATTTCCATCGTGCTGGCCTACTCGTCCGGCCCCGCCTTTGAGCAGATCGGCTACTACTTCTACCTCGTCTTCGTGTTCTGGGACATTGCCGAGGCTGTCTTCATCTACTTCTTCTTCCCCGAGACGAAGGATCGCACGCTCGAGGAGCTGAGCGAGGTGTTCGAGGCGCCGAACCCGGTCAAGAAGTCTCTGGAGCCCAGGTCTGCTTCGACTGTTATGGCGACGATGCACGTGCACGATGAGAAGCTGGTGCGCGACGTGTAGTTGGGGATGACTGATCTATGGCAATGCGTGTGCGCCATGAAATATTTGATAGTCTATGAAGCGAATAAAGCTAATGATGGTTCGATAAACGTGCACGTGACGGTCCTTGTGCTGCGACATGTGATGAATCTATACGTGAAGAAACCGGCAACGGCTTGATCCATTCCGTCACCACTTGGAACTTGTTCCATTAAACTAAGTGTCCGAGATTCTGCGAGACGTGCACATTGGCTTTCCCACAGCATCCACCGCAGGAGGCACGAGTATCGTGATAGCTGTTCGGATAAAAATTGACAGAGCCAAAAAGTCGGCAGCCAAAATGATTTAATTGCCGGTAATCCAGTGTTGAGATGCGTGAACTGGGAATCGAACCCAGGGCTCCCCGATGGCAACGGAGAATTTTACCACTAAACCATTCACGCTTTGATGAATAATCGTCTTCTTCCTGCACGAGAATGATGCTGAATCAATCTGAGGTATTCCAGGCGCAGAATTGGGCATCGTGAGTATCATGCAGTCAGGGCGGAAGCGTGGAGTGTCAGAATGGTACGGCATGAGCATCAGCGTTCGCAGGGGCTACACGGACGTCTCTTCAGACCCCCATGAACTGGACAGACTTCGATGCGGCTGCTGGCAGCTCAATGACAGCTGCATTGTATCGTTTGTGGAGACAAAAGACGTTCTGCAAGTGGGTGGTTGATCATAAGCCTACTTCCGAAGCAGACGATGGCCCAACGAACTCGGTAAATTGAAATGCCCAGAGGACAGCAAAGTAGAAAAACGAAACTGACATGAACGATGAGTCATGCCTTCTGTGAGATTTGGTATTTCCAGAACGTAAAGTACACACTATGTAGTCGTCTGACTAAATAATCCCGGCCGCTCTGAACTTGCCAAACGCCTCGAGCCAACCTTCCAACGGGTCCCTCTCTTCGTCAAAGCCTGTAGCTTTGAGTCTTTCCAGACTCAACTGCCTGTCAAAGGTCAACCACCAGCCCACGCTGTCCAGCTGCACGCTGCCAGCTCCCACGCCCTTCTCGGCTGCGTCTGCGAGGCCCCTCGTCGCGAAAAGGCGCTTGTGCTTCTCGACGTACTCGCCTGGCTTCAATGCCGCCGCATCGGCCTCGGGCCCAACGCCAATCAAGCCAAACCAGCCAGCGATCCCGGGCCAGAGCTCGCGAAAGGTTGTTGGCCGTGCTCGGTCTGCCATATTCACGATCTTCCCACCGCACTCTGCCGGGTGCAGCGCGGCGTGTACGGATATCCTGCCGAGCGTCCGACTTGACACGGGCGTGAACAGTGCGTCGGATCCTGCTTCGCTGCCGGGGAACGGAACCTCGACTTCTCCAGATGATGCGTTATTGAGGCGATACAGGGAGAGATACTGTGCCCAGTGGAGCGCCAGCGAAAAGGCCGAGCCATTTGGTGAGAAGCCGACGACGGCGTCGGGGCAGACCTCGGTCCATGTCCACGACCGGCCTCTGCTGGCTCTCGTGAGAATCTGCCGAAACCACGGATAGGCGACCGTCTTGGCATAGTCCTCCGGCAGCGTGCCGGCCATGGATTCGACGAGGGGAGCCGTGAACGTGCCGCCGGGGTTGTAGATGCCATAGCCCTTGGCTTGTTGTCAGTCGCTGGGAGTGGAGTTTCGACACAGCTTCAGTGACCTACCCTTGTGCCGCCGGCGTAGACAATTGACTTGAGCTGGGGACACAGCAGATTGAGGGCGTCGGTTACACGCTGCATCATCCCGCAGTTCACGCGGCATTCTTCCCTGTGGTCATCGTTGACCGGGGAGAAGACTGTCCTCATGGTGTCAGAAGGATGGTAGTACAAGTGAAGCCATGATTTCTGTTGAGCATACCAAAATAGAACGCATGCGTGACTTTTTCGATGCCAGGTGCCTTCTCCCGAAGTTGACGAGCCAGAGCGTCCGCATCACCGTCCAGCAGGTTGATCCCTGAAGCGATGTGCAGCTTGGGACGTGTGGATGATGCAGCTGGCCAGTGCAAAGCAGCCTCGGCGACTGGTCTGTTGATGACTGCCGTGACTTGGGAGAAGGTCTGCGGCGCGGGGTAGCCGGACAGGAGTTGGTCGACAGCTGCCCAGCCGAGCAGGCCTGCGGCGCCGAACACAAGGGCGTGGTTCTGGTCTGTCATGACGTTGGGGAAATTGATGATCTATGACAAGAAGATATTGATCTGGGTTGGATAATTTTTTTTTGCAATGGAATGCCGTTGAATGTATTCCAAAGATCCGGCAAGTCGCTCAAGAGGCCCGAGGCGCTAGCGGCGATGATTCATAGTGAGCCGCCGGCGGCCAGCGATCGCTTTCAGGGCCCCACGACGCTGGAGCGGTGCTGTCGGGGCGAAAGAAGGCGCTACGTCCCCTGGAAAGACACCAGACATCAATCCACTCAACAACTTGTTGAACCCCAGCGATATGAATTATCATTGGTATTATTCTAGAAGCAGAGCATCCCCAGACCCGAGATTCTCAAATCTACATGCCAGCTCTCCCCCCCGCAGACGCTGCTTCTCGGCCTCGACAGCATCCTGCAGCGTGAGCTGCTCCCGTTCAGCAGCGGAGCCACGAGGCCCTTCCCCCCCTTGATCTCGTCGTGCGTCGCCACCCAATATTTCGCGCCGCTCTCGCTGGCAGCGCGAATGCCGTTCAGACCACCTAGGTTCAGCTGCCTCACCAAGCCCAGCGTGACGCTATGGAGACCGTGCAGCAGGGCCAGTGTCCTCACGCCAGCCGCCTTAACGTGGGCGAGATCAGAGGCCTGCAGCCCGTGGGGCGTGTAGATGATGGCCTCGGGGCCTGATGCACCAGCGGCATCGATCTCAAATGTGACCATGAGGGCCGAGTGGAAATACAGGGGATTGCTCTCTGTGACGATCCGGCTGATGCCGAGCCAGGAAGGCAGACCTGACTGGCGCAAGGCGTCCTGCCACTCCTTCGAGTCGGGGGAGAAGTGCGGCGTCGTGGTCACCGTTTCGAAATGTCCCCATGCGCGCACCATCTTGGCGGCCTTGGTCGTCGCGATGATGGGGATCGACGACGGCAGCTCGAGGAGCGTCTCCTGGTGGCAGTGGTCCGTGAACTCATGCGAGATGGCGACGGCATCGATAAAGGTACCAGACCCTCCTCCTCCTCCTCCTCCCCCATCACCAGCGTCGTCCTCTGGCCTCTCGACGGATGCGACGAGTGAGCTGAGCTCATGCGTCGTCTGGACGCTCGACGCGACGACGTGCCACTGCCTCGAGAACCACGATGCGACGTCAGACTGAGAGCCCCGAAGCCATGGGTCGATGAGCAGGTTGAAGCGGCTGCGGCCCGGTGGCGGTGTCTGGCCTTCTGGGTACGGCAGCTGCAGGAGCCATGTCGTGTCGGCGTTGAGGTGGATCAGGACAGGTCTAGGTGATTGCAGCGCCGCGCGCCATTGCGCCTTGTCGGTGATGTTGAACGTGTCCGCATTGGTGCGGTTGGCTTCCATCGGAGTAAGCAGCCTCTATTCTTGTGGAACCAGAGACAGAACGGAATACTTGCCAATGTGCGGCGCAACACTGGCGGAAATGGGCAGCGTTATGAGGTGGTGGTTCGCCCACGTGCGGGGTGACGTCGACCATACTCATTGCCCGAGGCCTGGCTATAATCAGCAGGCCATCGCCCCCTTCGGCAAGAAAAGTATATATAGCTGTCGTTCCACCATGCCTTCTGTTGAGTTTATTTCTTTGTTTCAAACATCCACCGACTCCTCAATTGCCTGCCTGCTGATGAGTACACGTAGAAAGTCACGATACAACCATGACTACAAGGCTTGGTAAGACTGATGCTGGATGCCTTTCCATTGTTGAGTGCCACGACATCCGACAGTCGTACATGTATGTGCTTCACTTGGATTACACGTCAAGCTCGCTATCGTGACCCAAGTTTCACATCATGGCGTGTTCCCCTTCTGCCTTTTCCTGCCCATGTTTACGGCAGGCTCCGTACGATGCGATGTAACGTGTACTGGAGTCGGCTGGAAGCATAATTTTGACCTTCGATGAACTTGATTTGCTCGTATATTTGACTTTTCTCCCTGCATGATATTTCGTATACGCGGTAGCTGGAGCGGCGCTGTCTCAAGTATAGACCCATGTGAAGCTGTCCGGGGCCTGGTTCCATCTTGAATTCCTCCCATGTCGCAACCTCCGTGGCCCCAAACTCCAGGCTGAGCACGACTCGCCACAGGCAACAGCGAGGCCGTCCGCTGCAGCCAGAGCGCCTCCTGCCACCTTGTTTTCCGCGGCCTCGGAGATTCTCCGACCACCCAGCACCCGCTCTCGACCCGCTTCACAGACAAAACTGACAAAAGTGCCAATCTGACGCGGCCGCCGCAGCGCTTGCTTTCAGCACCCCGCATGCCCAGACACGGAAGTTCCTCCCAGACGCCTGTACTGCAGATAGATCGCGCGAGTGCGGCCCCGTAATTCGCGGGATCACGAGAAGATCGGCAGCGGCCGCCCCCGCTTCCGGGGCCGCCTCGTAAGGCAGAGCGAGAGCGGGCCACTGCCGGCGCTACTCATCATGCCACGCCCCGTGGGGAATGGGCCGGTCCGCCAAGAGGGGGAGTTTCCTTGGTGAGAGGGCACGCAAAACCTGCTGGCTGATGAATCTTGCTGCCGTTTTCGGCCGGCTTGCGTCTTGATTGCTTTGTCCCATTGGTGCGCGTATGTGCCGTCGCAACATGGTACGGGGAATACGCGAATGTTGCCATGTCTCGCCTCGCTTGTCCCCGCTCGAGACGCTGTGATTTCGTTGGCTATGGCTAGGTGACAGTTGCTTGATCCTCTTGGCAGACCTGAGCCTTCAACTCCTCTTGTCAACACGGCGAAGTCGACAATATGACTGCACGAGACGCCGGCGCGCGCTTGGCTCACTCCTGCTGCTATGATGTTTGTGAAAAATAATGGGCTTTTGAAACAGCTTCCTTATAATTTGGGGAAGAGCGAGACTAAACCTTAGAGACATGGACCTCTGACTGGAAGCCCCTTCCAACAATGCTGACAGCGCAGAATGTAGCCCTAGCCGGCGAAGATCACCGGAACAGTCCTTCAGTTGCCAAGAATGACACTGTCAGATTATGACGAGAAAACAAAGTCCCATCACTGGCCTGCATCACCCGGCTGTGGCGGCAACAGAACTGGACAATGTGTCTATGACTGTTCCGTTTGCGTGTTGTGCTCTTCTGCCAAGGAGGCTCATCGGTGGAGTTTCGAATCCTACGGCAATCGTTTCCTCTTGTGATACTTTTCACGCCGTCTCCATCACTACTCCTCATGTTGCGATGCATGAAACTGGTGATGAGGCTTCTGTTTGGCCCCTTATGCGACCATGAAATGATCCATAGCTAGACGGAATAGGCAGCTGGACCTTTCTGATGACAGACGTAGAGTCACGAGCCAAGACATGTGACGGGACAAACCTGACATCGCCTGAGGACTTGGTCGGATACTAGACCGGAGGCATGTCCACGATGGAGTCTCGAGGTATAAATACAGCACCTGTCGTCGTCTTTTTGATCTCATGTCTCCTCTTCATCACGCTCAACACGATCACATTCACAAACCACAAAGCATTCCAGACCGTACACAAAGCCAACCAGAGTTTTCCCTCCTCAACACATCAAAATGAAGGCCGCCACCATCATCGCTACCATTTTCGCCGGAGTCGTCATGGCTTCTCCCGTCGCCAACAAAGCCAGCGGAGCCGGCGAGGCCAACATTGAGAAGCGCTGCCTCTACGACAGCTGCCAGGACTGCTACAGCGCCACTCCTCCCCAGGGTCCCGGTAACATTGGCGCCTCGACCGGCCAGTAAGTTTTCCCTGAGCATGGAAATTCTCCAGCGTGAGTACTCACAGTTTTACAGCATCATCTACTGCGCCACCTCCTGCTGCTAGACACCGCCAGAAGATGGACCTGCCGAGATAGTGGGACAACTTCATGCTCAGGACGACCTGGGGGCCCAGTACGGTTCGCTAAAGGAGTTTGAAGTGGGGTACGAGAGCCATCCATCAAGTTAGATTGCTTAGCTTGAATATCAAGATCAGTTGCCTCAGTTCCCTTGGCCTATAAGCGCTTCCAAGGCTTTGTGAAGATTTCTGTCAAATCAAGATAAATTCCATTTCTCAGGCCTTTCTCATGCCACGACATACGGAAATGCCGAATCGTTTGATTCTTAGGTCTCTTAAACCATGTGCTGCTCCTGTTGGGGGAACTTCACCTAGTGGTGCTATCAGACATGCGCAGTCCTGGGCCACAGCCGAGCTGTGCATGTTCCTCGTCAGTCTTACTCCATCTACCGACTGCTCTCTCTGAGGTCCTTGGCGTTGTCCAGACCCATCTTGCCGCCCTCAACCTATCATCAAGCAGGCTCAATGACCTGAAGCCATCGCCGACCCTTCTGTGAAACTCCAAATCTCCATGCAACCCCACACCCAATCCCCGAACAGGCGCCTCGGCCCCCTTCTTTTGGGGAATCCTTGGCTGCCTCCGCACCAAGACACGTCTCCCCGCGGTGGGACGCGGCCCGGGAGCTGATCCACGCATCACATGGGCCTGTGAACTTCCCGCATTGAAATTCCGGACGCTCGCTCTCCGAAACCTACCCAAGCTATCGGCGGAGAGCCACGCTCAGCCCGCCCCGTCTTGCCTCCGCAATTGGTGACATTTGGTTCATTAGCCAGAATGCACCTCGTTCTTCAAGATGCGCTATCCTCTTTGGGCCGGCGGCTGCCAGGCTGCGATGGTCCGAATCAACAAGATGCCACCTTTCCTCGGAGCTCACCCGAGCTTTATCTTGTCGCGAGGGGCATCGCATTGTCCAGCGCAGCTCGCTCTTCTTCCTCCACTTTCAATCCCTTCCGAAGCAAACTTTGCAACCAACAAAACCAGCTGTTGTCAGACTATCCCTTCGGTGGACACTAGACAAAGCTAGAGAGAGGTACACACGTGCCTACACCAGAGACATGTCGGGAACTCAGACGGAGACGCTGGTCCAGCTTCCCATCCATGATGATGGCGTCGAGACCAGTGAAGCGGACGGGGAGAAGCCGATCAAGGTCGACTTTGATCTCCAGATTGGCGTCGAGGAGATCCTCGTCGACGTCGATCCTAGTGTTTCCCTCGAGTTTCTACAGCGAGCGAATGCCCTCGCAGGAAAACGCCCGCCTCATGTCCCAACCAAGGAGTGGCTCGTCAACACGCACAATGAGCACGTGCAGAAATTCCAAGCCGCAATGGTCGGGCAGACGAATGTGCCGAGGATGGTAAAGAAGGTCATTCTGGCCCTCTCATACGCACCATCAACAACACCCATCAAGGACCTCGAGACTGTACGTTCAGAACACACGCTTCAGTGACTGCCGCATTGTTAACATGACTACAGATGCCGCTCAATGAGTTGCTCGTCGAGAATCACCACGAAGAGAAGAAACTTGTCGTCAGGACAATTACACCACCTTACCAAGGCGCTGGAGTCGTGACCATCGTGGAGGACGAATTTGGTAACGTTGAGAAGCTGGGAATCTACAACCAGGGAGACTCCAGCATACTTAATGCTGTGCCAGAGGGTTCTGTTGTGCTTATCAAGGAGCCATACTATAAATTCAGCGGCAACCATGATTTCATGATCTGCGTCGATCACCCCTCAGACGCTATCCTTCTGCGCCAAGGGCCCGACGATGAGCTGATTCCAGAAGTCTTCCGAACTGGTGAAGAGCTCAAAGAGGCCCCTCAGTGGAGAGAAGCTGGTGACAAGGCATATATGGCGAGGAATTATCCCTTGGCCATGGCAAAGTGAGTCACCCTTTACTTTGGGTAGAAATTCGTACACGCATGTGCTAATCGTCATCTCCCAGCTACACGAGAGCCCTCGAATTGGCCCCCGCAGACGATGAGAAGTTCAGATCCGACTTGTGCTTGAAGAGGGCCGGCGTGCAGCTCACACTAAAGTGTTACGACGGCGCCATGGCCGATGCCCTCGCCTCTCTTGGAGGTCCCACGGACTGGAAGTCCTACTTCATCGCCGCGCGCGCAGCCTACGAACTCACATTCTTCGACGTCAGTAAGCAGCACTTTGAGGCGTCCATCGCAATTAAGCCCCCCACACCTCAGATTGAGAAGGAGTACAAGCGATGCCTGGCGCGCGTTGATGAGGCTGAGAACGGCAACTACGACTTTGCGACAATCGCTCAGTCCGTAACCTCCAAAAACATCCACCTTGACAAGGCAAGTTACATCACGAAGACTGAGGTCCGTGATTCACCCCACCACGGTCGCGGCCTCTTCGCTACACGCGACATCAAAGCAGGCGAGATTATCTATGCGGAAAAGTCGACATGTGTGCCCAACGAGTTTCACCCAGAACACAACGCCGCCGCTGCCTACGCCCAGCTCGTCGAACGCTGTAACGACAACCCTTCTGTGCACGAGAAGGTGCTTGGGCTCTACGGTGGAACGTACAAGCGCAGCGGCCGCGAGAGCGAGGTCATCGACGGCAAGCATGTCGTCGACGTCTACCTCCTCGAGTCGATTCGTCGCAAGAACTGCTTCAGCGGAACACACGTCTCCGCTCAGGCTGCCAACGCCAACTGGGACATGTGGAAGCAGGGTATGAGCCGAGGCCTCTGGGTCTACTCCGCCTACTCCAACCACTCGTGCCAGCCCAACTCGAACCGGTCCTTTGTTGGAGACATGCTCATCTCCATTGCCGTTGTCGACATTCCTGCCGACACCGAGATCACGCAAATCTACCTGCCTCCAAAGGCCGCCTACCTCCAGCGTCTTGAACAGTACCGTAAGAGTTGGGGCTTCAAGTGCGCGTGTGACATGTGCGCCGGCGAAGGCAAGAGCCCTGAGGAGATGCACGAGAAGCGTATCGTTGCACTGCGGGAGCTGGAGGCGAATTTGCGCAAGAAGAACATGAGCGCTCGCCTCTATCAGTCCGATGCCATGATCCGAGAAATCGAACGCCTTCACAAACGTCTCGATAGCCTCTTTGAACCAGAGATCTACGGGACACTTCCTCGCATGATGATGATTTGGCCCTCGATGTGGTTTATGGAGGTGTACCGCACCAGGAAGGCCTGGAAGAAGGCCATCAAGTGGGCGTTAGAGGTGCTGCGTAACTTTGGGTTCATCAACCCGCTGAGGAACATGGACGGCGAGGTTGGCGGTGACGAGTCGATGCTGTGGGTCTTCAAGTCGCAGACGGGTGTGGTGACGTTTGAGACGATCAAGGCGTTGAAGGTGCTTGCTGAAGGGTACTGGGCGCTCGGGGAGACGGTCCTTCAGAGGCAGGCGACGGCGGCGGCCAAGATTGCGCTCAAGTGCATGGTGGGCTTTGTGACGGAGGAGACATATCGGTCTTTCAACTAAGACTTCGGAGCATAACGTGGGCACCAATCAGGACTGGTTGAGTAGCAACATGGGATATTGGACTGGCGTTTAAACGGTTGATGTTTGTAGAAATTCTATTGCTCTGTTCAATTCTAGTTGGCTTTTAGTCCTTCTTAGCTTCGTGGGCTTCAGTTTCTTCGCTGTGATCGCCATCGTCGTCTTCCTGAGATGTGGTTTCCAAACCTTTTACCAGGCAATTCCCAATCAGAGCCATAGATGGCCTCCATATTGGACCAATATTTCAACTCTTCGTGTCCAATAAGTCGACGACGTGTGCGACAACTGCAAAATTGTTTCCCTGAGCATAGTCGTAAAGCGTCAGTGTGACCAGATTCGGAGATTTTGCGCCGACAAGACGATCGGGCGACTCTCACGCAAGCTCAGTGAACTGTGGACTACCCCCACTCCTTCGTGCACCAAGAAGTAACTTCACGTCCAACAATAGTGTCTCCAGCGTTTCAAATCCACGTAGAGACCCGACTTCGTGGTCTAAATTTTAGTGTTATGCTGATCCGCTGTGTGCCGCGGCCCGCTGCACTGAGCGTCATCAACCCAGCAGTAGTCCACCTGATTCTCGTAGAACTCATCATCACCGCCGTCCAGCTCATCAATTTTCTTCTCGTCCGGAACGTCCCCAGGCTCATTACTTGGCAGTCTTGGTCGCCTTAGTTCTGAGCTTCATCATCAGGAACACCAAACCGTACGAGCTGATACAAAATAAGGCCGTAATACCCACCTGGTCAATAGGGTTAGTCACATGCATCAAACATCCGGCCATTTGAACTTACATCTCTCCATCCGTAATATTTCTCGTTGATGTTCATGGTCCGCAGATAGTCTGCGCCTGTGCTATATGGACAGTATTCACAGCTGGTCTGGTTGGTGATATCGGTAACATATCCTGCATTGATGGCCAAGAAATCATCCATGTACTCCCCACAAGTCGTGTTCTGGGGCAGATCGATGTGAGTCAGCTCGGAAGCCTTGCACTCTACCTCAACATCCCAGATAACGGGCTGGAGCAGTGCACCCATGAGATATGTGAAGGGATCCAAGTAGTACAGCCAATAGCGCCAGAAAGCTTGGATGCGCGCATATGGCACAACGACTCCACAGAAGTTGATCAGAGCGGTTCCGACTATCAGGGGATTTGCAAGAGCAGCAAAGTATTCGTTCGGGCTGTAAGCTGCAATGGCTTGTGCAATTGAGGTGTACAAGAACTCGTAAACTGAAAGGATTGCGTTAGTTATCAGTGTGCTTCAAATCCAAGGTTCTCTAGACTCACGAATCATTTCAAAATATACCTGGCCAGAAATACTGGCTTCCACGGGAAATCCGGCAGTGAAATACCAGCAAGCAAAGTACAAAGTTCCGCAAAGGATGAGAAGCGGTGTCTCCGATATGAGTTGTGCCATAATGAAGGCGAACCAGTGATATGTTTTGGACTTCTTTTCTCGGGTCTCGAAAATGTCTCTGTTGCGGAGGAAAAGTGGTTGAAGCTGGTTAATGCATCCAGGGGCGACAAAGACGAAGTTGAAGACGGCCATCAATCGAAGCTGTAAATCGAACAAGCCGTCTCCAATCATCCAATATGTGAAACCACCAAAGAGGGAATTGCTGACGTGCAAGCCAATTTTGTTCCAGACGTAGTCTGGATTCCGCCAGAGTGCAACCATTTGCCGTTTGGTTACTAGTCGAACTTGGTAGACTAGAGGCGCGGCGAAGTCCAAGATGTCGTCATTGGTTTCCTCGTCCTCGTCCTCGTCCTCGTCCGAATGCCGAATGCCGCTGGTATGGAAGTTACCCGGCCTGTTCAGTTGCTCCAGTTCTTGCATTACTGATGTTCTCTCTTGCGAATCAAGCCATGTCTGCGACCAGTCGGTTCCAGTTCCAAACCTTCCTTGTACAACATCAACGATATGCTCGGCGGGGTTTGCGTCCAAATCACATGGCGCGCCGTTCCTTGAAAAGTAATCCAGAACTATGTCGGAGTTCTTTCCGGTGGGACCAAAATAAGTCGTCTTTCCCCCCTTCGTGAGCAGAAGAAGCACATCAAAAGCCTCAAATAAGGCAGCGGAAGGTTGATGAATCGTGCAAATGATGGTTTGTCCAGAGGCTGCGAGTCTTCGCATGAAGCGACAGATTTGGTAGGCCGACTGTCCGTCTAATCCAGATGTTGGCTCATCCAAAAACAGTAGCGAGGGTTTGGCAACAAGCTCCGTAGCCAGTGTCAGACGTTTTCTCTGTTCGATAGATAGCCCAGAGCCAGGATCTATGCAGCTGATCAGGTTCTGTAGTCCAAGAAAGGGGCTTGACTTACTGCCAACAAGGGCGTGCTTGAGGGACGTCAGTTCGAGCAGGTCCATGATGTGTTGAACGTGTTGGACCTTGTCGCTGTCCGGGGTGCCATAGCTTTGTCGTAATCTAGCAGAAAACAGCAAAGACTCCCAGACGGTGGCTGTGGGTTCGTGGACATCATTTTGCTCACAGTATCCTGTCGTTCTCTGGAAGCTGATCCCTTGGGGTTTGCCGTTGACCATGATACTACCTTCAATCCTGCCACCGTCCTTACGCTGCGCAAGCACATCCATTAACGTCGTTTTTCCGGCGCCGGAGCTTCCCATGAGGGCCACCAGCTGTCCCGGCTTGACGTATCCCGACACGTCTTTCAGGAGCTGCTTTTCGTGGCCTTGGTGACGAACATAGTAACTGATGTCCTTGAATGTGAAAACAGTTTGGACAAGATGCGATGACTTGTGTTCTGTTTCAGAGTCGGAAGTTGCAGGCTGGCGTTCGGCAGCATTTTCGCTGTTCTGAAGTCGACACATCTCCTTCCGCTGGTTGCGTCGGTGAAATAGGACTTTAGAGCCGGAATCCCTATGGATATTGAGTTCGGAAGCCAACGCGGTTAAGAGGGCAAACAAAACCCAGAAGGCGACCAAGATCCCAACGTTGCGCCAGATCTCGGAAACCATTGCGCGATACTGCACCTGGAGGAAGGACTCGCCGTCAATCAGTTGCACAGCAGGGGCAGAGCCCGCGACGGTGCAACTTCTGAAAGCGCTCTCGTTATAGGTGCCCCCAAACGGTACGTATTGTGGCTCAACGCATGTCAAAGTCATTGTGCCCATTTCGCTAGCCAGAACGGCATTGAAGGCATATGCCGCTGGGTTGATGTACCATATCCAGCGGAACCACGGGTGAATGCTGGCAACAGGAATGAGATAGCCTGATTGTCTGTTTAGCGCAAACAGATCTCTGGAAACTTCTTCAGGTGGACACCAACCTCCGTAAACCATCATCGCCATGATAACCCATCCGCTAATCTGCGATGCGAACCCAAAGTGTCTGCAACAAGTTCCGATCATCCTAAAGAGTGAAGTGAAGCACAGCGTCGCCAATACGTAAATCAGCCAGTTCGTGAAAAACTTGCCAGCATCATGTTGGAGGCCCACCATGAAGTAAAATATGATATGAAATAGGGTGAATAGGGCCACGACAAGTGGTATGTCGGTTATAACACAAGCCACGGCGTGAGCAGCAGGCCGATGAAATGCAAGTCGTTTGTGGCGTGCAATGATAGGCCGACCTGTGAATGACACTGTCGTCTCAGACAGTTTGTTCATCGCGAAGAGAAGAATGGGATAGAACAGCGCGCCAGGCTTCATAAAGATGGAATCGCTGGTGCCTGACAAGTCATAGAACAAGCTTCCTGTGACAAGGGCGAAACAGAACGAAGAAGCAATTTGAAGGCAGTTGGACCACCGGTCTCCCCATATGATCTGGAACTGACTACGAGGCGTTAGTTCACGCCCCTTGAATCATTTCCAAGAAATATTGGGGGCATTACCGCTTCGTGCAAGCCCTGACCTGACTCAGGAAAGAGACATGATAGGGGCTTGACTGCCTCGACAGGGTTTCGATTGTCCGTGTCTTTTCAAGACTGTAAACGCTGTTGAGAATCCTGATTTCCTCGCTCAATGATTCTTTCGGAACAAGATCGATGTCTTCCGTCATTTGGCTATACGTAGCGGAATTTCGATAACGGGTCTCAAATTCGGGAGCTGAGCGGGGTACGCTATCTTCAAACCCAGATCGGATCAATCTTTCTGTCTCGACTACAACAGAAGTAAGAAAGTCGGCGGTGTTAGCTCCAGGTGGGCTCAAGAAGCCCATATCTTCGAAATATTTTCTCGCATCTCTCGTGGGCCCGTAGTAAATTTGACGGCCGTCGGCTAAGACGAGAACTTTGTCGAACTGAGAGTAGATGCTGTTTCCCGCTTGATACAGAGTGGCCACAATGGACTTTTGCTGCTCATTGGCGGCGCGGCGCAAAGCCCTGACAAAGTCAAGCGCATTACTTGCGTCAAGGCCTCTGGTCGAGTTATCCCAGCATTGAAAAGGGGCCTTTATCATCGTGTCAGCCTAATAGTGCCTGCTACGTGGTTGGGATGGGTGACGTACTCCTGTTTCCATGACTTCTGCAATTGAGACTCGTTTCCGCTCACCGCCCGAGACTCCTCGGATGAATTCATTGCCGACGACAGTGTCACTTGCATGGGCAATGCCGAGAGTCTCCAAGGTTGATTCAAAACCTTTCTCTATCGATGTTGTCGCCATTTCAGGGGGTTTCAATCTGCTTTTCGTTGCTTTTGTCGATGCGGCAAAGTCAATTGTCTCCGCTACCTTCAGAGTTGGGAAGTGAAGATCATCTACAAGGAGAGGGTCAGGCTTCGTGACAACTTCCACTGAAAGAATTTCAGATGCTGCAAGAATCAAACCCACCTTCGGTGTTCATCACCATGTGCTGGCGAAAGCGCGATGCGTGCTTTGCGTCAATGTCGCCGTATCGTACGTCACCGTTGACAGCATGGAATTCTTCCCGACTGTTTGAAATGACTTTTAATAAAGAGGTGCAACCAGAGCCAGGCCGTCCAAGTACAAGGAGCTTTCACAATAATCAGCGTAGTGTACAACCCAGGGGTACCAAAATAACCTCACCATCTCCCCTGGCCGGACCTGGCCCGAGACTTGATGCAGTATGGTCTATATAGCTATTTTAGGTTCCCGGAAAATCGTTTTGGGGTAGGATACTAACTCGTTGCGATGTTGAGCCATTTTTGAAAGGAATCAAGTTTCTGACTACCGACGCACAGGTTGAGCCGAAATCCTCACCAAGGCCATGGACCACTATATCCACACTGCGGAACGTGACAGTCAGGCGTTTCGACGTGTTATCGTGCATGTTGGACATCGCTGATGGTCCACGGGCCGTGTACAAAACGAGATTTGTACAAGAACATGGTTCCTCAGAAAGCATGCACCAGGAAAGTCCTGGAGCTTTAAGGGAATTTCTGGAGAATCTGCCACAGGCTAGTGGATCCGATAATTCATCAACTTCAGAGAAGATCCCGAATCTCGGACCTGAAGTACATTTGTTGCACCTTTTGAGGAGTTATTCGTTTGCTGCCACCACTATACGGCCGTCGCGGCACAGGTCGGATTTACGGGTTTACGGGAGTACAGTGAGCTGGACAAAGACAATAATCTCGGCAGCGCGAGTCATATCAGCCGAACTCGGATTTATGGATCCCCAGAACTCACAACGCACCTCCCTCCCTCTCTCTCCCTCTCTCTCGTAATTCCCTTGTTACTCCGAGTCCGGGTGCAACACTTCGGAGCATGAGCGACGAATGCTGTCAACAGATCCACTAGCTGATACTGAAAGACCGAATAGCACGCATTTCCAGCGGTCATGTCGTCTGCCGCGCATGAGAACGAGGAGGACGACCCTCAGCGGGAAACCACAAAAATAGGCAAAGCCTGCGAGCCCTGTCGGCGCCGTAAGGTCAAATGCGATGGTGCACAGCCATGTTCGCAGATTGGCTGCCAGAAGAATCCCTCTCAATGCATCTACAGAGATAGAACCCGGATCAGACGGTCGAGGGCGCGCAGGCAGACTGAGTCGAACCCGGCGACAGCAGCAACTGCGGACCTCGGTGCCACGGCGTCGGAGAGACATCCGGCACCATCTTCTCGGCCAGAAGAAACAGCTCATCAGCTGTCTTCCGAGCGATATCAAGAGAATGATCACGCTAGTCTTACAGAAGATGGCCAAGCATCTGGCGACCACGATCTTTATCCTTACGCCAGCATTGTCGCGACGCATGATGCGCCCCAGCCTACTGATAGCTCTCAGCTGTTCTATGGGCCATCCTCCAATTTCGCCTTCTTGCAGCAGCTTCACAGGGGAATTTTGTTTAAGACTGCTCGCAGTCTTCGCCGGGGCGGCGATGTCGAGGAAGGAGGTCCAGGACTCGACTTGTTCATGCAACGGTCGATATTCTTTGGAGCACCTCAGCGTGTAAAGCCAAATGCCTCTTTGCCCTCGTTCTCCGACCTGACGCGGCACATTCCATTGGATCAATTGGACCATTTTTTGGACACCTTCAAGACCTCCCATCTCCATATCTACCCCTTCTTGACAAGTGCCGACATCAACGGAATTTCTCGGCAATTGCATGGCATTGCCCCCAAGCCTGACTTCCCACCCCAGAAAACGGCGATTGCCTTGGCAATTCTGGCACTGGGAGCTCTCAGCTCACCGCACACGGAACAGGCCGAGTATCTCTACGCGCTGGCCAAGCGTGAGGCCGTCTTCTTTGACGAAGCTGTCACTCTTTCCATGATACAGTTCTCGGTCCTGCTCTCCGGATATCAGACCAACATGGCTCGGCCAAATTCGGCCTACATCCACCTCGGAACAGCATGCCGAAATGCTTTTTCCATGGGTCTGCATCGACACATCACTGCACCGTCAATGAAGGCCGAGAGCGTGCAGGAGCGCATAGCCACTATTTGGTGTCTGTATTTTCATGAAACGTAAGCGAAGAACCTCATTTAACCACTGAGTGACGGATCATTACTAAAGCCATGGCCACCACAGCTGGACGGCGCTTACACTTGGGAGTAAAACGGCAATGAGCATTGCAGACATATCGTGCCCGTTTCCTGAGCACCAGCTAGTCATCGTTGCGTTGTGTCAGCTAGCGCACATTATTGAGAATGGAACGGAGCATATCTATGGGCGGCGATGCGAATCGCTCCATCAGCTCTACCGCGTAGCGGAAAGGATCCATGGTGAGCTGAAGCAGTTTGCGGATCGGCTCAGCATAGGACCGTCAAACAGTCCATGTGGCTCTCGAACCTTTGAGAAAGCCTGAGCTGCTTCAGATTCATTCCCGTACGTTCATTTCATCCAACGCCCTGAGTGTGCCCCCCCCAACCCACCCAACCCGAGTTGAAAACACAAGCAGATGCTAAGGGAACACTCAGTCTATTACCACGCAATCTTGCACACTTTCCGGCCGTTTCTTGTTGCCAGCGCCGCAATGAGTGCCAGTAAACGCCAGGCCGAAGGCATGTGGTTGCGACAGGCGTGCAGACATGCCGTTGACGCAGCACAAGATTCGATCGTTTACATTGGCAACGTGATCCGCAACTTCTGCGAAGGGCACGTCTGCAGGGTGAGGCTCCCTAGTACGGTTCTCCGTATTACAGTGGATGGCCTGACCATGAGTGGAAAGGCCATGAAGGTACACCCGCCCTACTTCCCTGGAGTGCAAACTGCGCTGTGCTATTGCATGACAGTCTGTTGGTCCCCCTTCAAAAGCATCCCTCACCCACCTCGAGTATGTGCAGAGCGCCCTCGATTGCCTCGGCCTTATGGTCCAAGATGCACCCTGCAACGCTGGCGCAGGACTCCCTTCAGCAGGTATTGAAAGCTGTTGAGAAGGCCATCGCGCACCAGAACAGCTCGGCTGCCTCAACGCCGGGGATGGCAGGAAATCTGACTTCACAATTCCCTTGTTTGCCCCATGCTCACGCCGCCAATTCCACCGACCAACACATCCACTTGACTGATCTCTGGGACCAAAGCCACGCCACTGGCGGCAATCCGACATTATCCGGGGAACAGGACATGCACGAATTCGACTTTGATGTCATGACGACAGATCTTCTCCATTTCTTTGGCCCAAGCACTGAGGGCAACCCAACGGGCAACCCAAGCTAGGGGTCCTCACGAGGCGACTGCACTCCTGCAACCGAAAGGATCGCAAGACGGCCGCAAACAGCCTGGAGCACAGCACCCTTCCCGGCCCGGACCCCTGGGTCGAGGCTCCAATCGATCGCACGCGTTTCGACTCACTACCTACTGCTTATGGTTGCGTTGACCTGATGTATTGAATAGAGGCCAAAGCAGGAAGTGCAACTATTCTTGCTAATGAAAGGCGGCTTCCTACTCTAGGACTTGACTTTTGTCAGATCTTGTGCAATGGTTTCGACTCTCGTTGAAGCTCTTGATCCACCAGAGCAGTAATTTCGATGAGCTCTTCATCGTCGTAAGGCCTTCCTACAATCTGAACGGTCGACGGCTGGTTTGCAAACAAAGCCGGATCATCTAGACAATCAATTAGCCCGACAGAATAGTTGAGGGTCTCGGCTGCAATCTGCACTCACACATGGCGTGGTTTACCGCATCGTATGGGTTGGTGGTTGTAGGTCGGTACGCAGAATTTGGCGGATCAGCTTCCGGGCTGATTTTGAAATTCGGGATTGGTAAAACCGTGGAAGGATAGTCGAGGATATTGTACATGCATGTATATCCCCAGTAGATATTAAAGTCGTGGGGTATCCCGGCCGACGGAGCCACGGGGCATATCAGCGCATCCATCGGGCGACCCGTTCTTGTTGAGTCCTTTGTCTGGTCCCATGCGTTGGCGAATAAGACTTTGAAGGCTCTCATCTGGTGGTTGAGCTGCTTCTGTCAGAATTACGTTCAATGCTTGAGTAGACAATGATGCGTACCTTCATGACCTCAGAAGCCGACAGAGACCTGGCATTGTACACTCTGAGGAGGTCAGCGAAGGCTGGGATGATAGGCTCTTCACCCGCATTGGCACTCTTCAGCGTGTCTTCTCCGCCCATCTGAAAGTTGATGTCAAACTGCAGCTCAAATGGTTAGCCAGTCTTGTGGTGTGTATGCAAGATGATTTTCTCACATTGCATTTGGCTAGCTCCCAGCAGTCAAAAGGAGGTTCGAAATCAATCACTGGAGGGAATAGTCAGCCCCAAAGTTGAAGCGGCCAGCAGCATCAAAGAGCCCACCTTCAAATCCAGCATCCTGCAGAACCCGCCTGGTATGGTCAAGTGCCCTTAAGACCGGCGGTTGAGGCATCACGACGCGGTCCCACCTCATGATGCCAACAGCAAGTTTCTGCGGTATGGTCACACGCCTCCACGGCATGGGTACCGCATTGGTGTCGTATCGAGATGCTTCATTCGAGACCAGGAGGCGGGTGAAGAGACGCACGTCGTCGATAGAGTGACAAACGGGACCTGCCGAGTCCCTGATCGACACTTGGCCTGTCATGCTGCCTTCCCAGAGGTTCTTCGGAACGCGCATCGCTGTTGGACGAATTGCATATAACCCGTTGAAGGCGGCCGGGGCGCGAATTGAGCCACCAATGTCCGATGACGGTGCTATTGGGCTTCCTCTCATGGCCACGAGGGCCCCATCACCACCAGAACTTCCTCCTGCGCCCAACCGCCTATTGAAAGGGTTTAACGTGCGGCCCCAGAGGTTACTGACCGTCTCGAGGACAAATCCAGTCTGGGGCATGGTAGTCCTGCAGAAGAAGACAGCGCCTGCCTCGCGGATGATCCGAACAACGTCAGAATCGTGCTCTGATACGTTTGACTTGACCTTGTTGGCGATATATCCGCGGGTTGTTACGTGGCCTTTTACACTGTAAGTATCCTAGGGACATTCTTGTGTGAGTGAGATTTGATTCTGCATGTAACGGTCGTGATCTCGCATCCATACCTTGAGCGCTACAGGGACGCCATGGAGCGGGCCCAATGGTTGGCCGCCATTGTCGAGAATGTCATCAAGCTCCTTTGCACGACGGAGACCTTCTTCGTAGAACCAGTCTGTGAGACAAAATACCTGCCGACCATCAGCATGCGGTTCCGGGGGAAGATGTCAGCTACGCCGCTCTAAGTACCAGCTGATGAGCAATAGCAGCCCGTGCAGCGAAGGCTTCAAGCACTTCCACGGCTCTCAGAGCCCGCGTTCGGATGTGGCCAGACAGCTCCGTTACAGTGAGCTCTGTGATTGCGATCTGTCTTGCAGTCAGGATACCGCATGTGACCGGCACCCGAGTGACGTCGGTCAATCCAGCATATGGCTTGGGATCAATCCTCCATTTCCCTGGTAACCGCTGCAACAGCTCAGTCTGAGCCGCCTCCGCGATCGTCGGCCATCCTGCAGGCATGGTAATCTGTGGGTCAAGGTGACTGTTGCGTTTTCCCCCAGAGTGGTCGCTGTCACTAAGGAGCTTTGGTCAACGTGAGGAACAAAAAAGCCAAGCCGTGACGCTTCGATTGGTTGCCTGATGGAGTGGCAGAGCCGACTATTTCATCGCCAGCCTTATCCTCCAAAGGAAACTCCGTAACCCCACGGAGCCGGCGACTGACCCGGTGGGCAAACCCGGCCCGGCTTCTGTTGCTGTCGATCACAGGGATCTGGAGCCTGCCAAAACGAGCTAGCTGGGCCATGGGTCGGAGAACGGAGGTCACAGGCCACACGAGGGGAAAACTCCGTCCTCCGCCCCCACTTCGCCATCACTGACCTCCGGTGTCTTGGGGCGCAGGTTGGGCAATACCTGCCGATAGGATCGTAAGCTTGGCCAACAAGTACCAGGAACGTGAGTCAACTTCAGGAAGTCATACGGGTTCCCAAGCCCCGCCTCAAGTGAGGCGCCAAAACCGAAGGGGTTAATTCCCTAGGTGGGCGGACTCGAAGTTTGTCGTATCCTGCGGTAAACTTTTATGTCTTGACGCTGGAGCTCTGGTAGACACATGCAGTGCGCTCCTGTAGCATGATGCTCGTCCTGAATTCCTACCGTCCTGTGGATTCCTGGGTGCAAATACTTGGAGTTCGAAGGAAAATACGCGCAAGGGATAGTAACACAAAGGCTTCAGTAGTAGAATGAGTCCCTTTGAGCAACCAAAGAATTCAAGCACAACAATTTCATTCAAGGCTCTAGCTACCCAGGCTTACAGCTTAGACATGGAGCCCACGGTCAAGGTGCCAGTCTTAGAAATCAAGTACTCCTCAATAGCCACGTCCTTGCCAGCCTCCTTTCCATAGCCGGACTCCTTGATTCCTCCGAATGGCGACTCGGCGCCCGAAGCATTGCCTATTTTGACGAATCAGTACCCGGATACTAGTGGTTCGCCGTACTTTGTTCTTACCTGTGTTCATTCCAATCATGCCCGCCTCCAGATTTTCGAGAAGGCGCCAGGTGCGCTTAGTATCCCTCGTGAAAAAATACGAAGCGAGGCCCATCGACGTCTCATTGGCAGCCTTGACGACCTCGGCCTCAGTCTCAAACTTGTAAAGGCCAAGTAAGGGGCCGAAGATCTCCTCACTCGTCGTCAGCATGGATTGATGCATATCGGCAATGATGGTCGGCTCGAAAAAGTATCCTCCCGCGCGCGCAGGTGGTTGTCGTCCGCCGCAAAGGATTTTACCGCCCTTTTCCACCGCGTCGGCAATGTGTCTTTCGAGCTTCTCGATGCCGCGGGATGTAGTGAGAGCCCCCATCGTAGTAGCCGCGTCAGCACCGTGGCCGACCCGGATCTTCCGAGTCGCCTCGAGGATGAGCTTTGCGAACTCTTGGTAGACGCCGCTCTGGACGTAGACGCGGTTGGCGTGCGTGCAGGCCTGGCCGGCAGTGCGCCATTTTAGAATCATGAGGGCTTCGACTGCATGCTCCAGGTCGCCGTCGTTGAAGACGATAAAAGGGCAGTTACCCCCTAGCTCGAGGGTAACCTTCTTGAGTCCCTCCGTGCAATGCCGGGCAATGAGCTTTCCGATAGCTGTGCTTCCCGTGAAGGTCACCTTGCGCACCAAGGGGTGCTTACATAGCCTTTCACTGACGGCCGGTGTGTTTATGTTGTCGGTAGTTATGACATTAAAGACGCCGGGAGGTACGCCGGCGCGGAGGGCCAGATCAGCGAGGGCGAGAGTGCTCAGGGGCGTCTCGGGGGACGGCTTGACGATCATGCTGCAGCCCGCTGCAAGCGCAGCGGCCACCTTTCGGATGATCATGGCAACTGGGAAGTTCCATGGCACCAGAGCAACGCTGACTCCGATGGGTTGCTTGACGACAAAGGTACGACGCTCGGAGACAGAGGGAACGGCGATGGACCCTCTGACCCTCTCGGCCTCTCCCGCGAACCACCAGGCGAAACCCAGAGCGTAGTCAATCTCTCCACGCGCTTCGACCAGTGGCTTGCCGGTCTCGTACGTGACTAGAGTAGCGATATCCTCCCTGGCAGCGGTGATGAGATCGTGCCATTTCAGTAGGGTCTTGGCCCGAACGCGTGGGTTCACGTGACGGTATTCGTTGAATGCCTCATGGCTTGTTTCGACGAAGGCGTCCACGTCCGAGGCCTTGTTTGTAGGACAGGCGGCAAAGCATTTTCCCGTGCCGGGATCTGAACAATTCGGGGTCAGCGGATGAATGATGGAATGTGCACTCGAAGAACTAGGATTCCTTTCTCACCTTCGATGTCAAAGGTCTCTTTTGATCGAGCCTGAACCCATTGTCCATTCAGGAGGGATCTTTCATGGAGAAGAGTGGCGTCTTCGAGCTTTAGAAAGGTCAAGCTGGTCAGCGATATTCCTGACTGAAATATGACATTGTCGAAGGGCAACTGACCTTGAACGGGAGTTGGGCATGCATCATGTAGACAGGTGGAAAGCAACAAAAGGTCTTTAAGCATGTGGGATGTCATTCACAGTGAGCTAAGAACGTAGTCGGTGGCGTGAAGCACCTATATAGCTGCCCAGGCCAAAGGCAAGCTTTCCCCTTCGGTATAGGTACCCTATGCTTCGGTTATACATTGTCAAGCCTTGCCTGGCTGGGCTGGCATAGGCTGAAGGGACGGCATGGCATTGCCGAACAGACGCTAAGTTTGCCTCCATTCATCCATCCACGCTCTCCGACTGAAGCTGAAGACAATATGGATGCACTATTCTCTCTTGGTGTGGTAAGTTGCGGCTGGCGACTTGCCCCGCAGCGGAGTTTGGCCCGGTCCGTCCGCCGTATGGCGGGGGCGGCCCGAAAAAGATTGCCTTTGGAGGCGACTCCTCCGTGCCACTTGGGCAAACCGCCTCAGTAACAGCCCAGCTCTCTCCTTCTACGGACCGATAAGGAAATCTGCATGACACGTGTTTCCCTTGGAGGTAAGCGGCTCGTCATACTTTGACCTACGCTGCGCTACTCGTCGTGAAGGGTATTTCTACGCGAAGCAACACTTCGCAATCGAACGACGGCATACGCGGATCCGTTGTCACCTCCATCCGCCCTTTTGCCCGAAAACGGGACCCTTCTGCCACTTGAGCCTGCCACATATATAAAGAAAGTACTCGCCTTAATCTGCCGTGTTTTCTGGACCAGGTAAGGAGCACTGACGGCATCACCAAGCTAAGGTTCTTGTTCTCGAAATTAACAGTTGATCCCAACCAGTACAAAATCATTCATCCTTCAGGACCAACACCATGACCCTCTCAATTCATCCATTCGATCCCCTCCTACCGGAGGAGATCTCCAGGGTACGTGCTGTCGCCGCCTCGAGCACTGCTTCTAAAGTCACTAACTCGACTGCAGGCTGCTGATGTTGTCCGCCCGCACTTCGCCGGGCGAGAGATCAACTTTCGCGTCATCACCTTGCGCGAGCCTCCCAAAAAGCAAATGATCCCCTTCCTCGAGAAAGAGCATCGCCATCAGCCTGTGGGAGTCCCTCCGACTCGCTGCGCCCGTGTTGAGGTAGTCCTGGAGAGTAAGACGGGCAACCATGAGTTATTCGAGCTCCTCGTTGACCTCGACAACAATCGTGTAACGGCCAAGCAGCACCACAAGGGCAAGCATTCTTACATTGACTCCGACTACATGAGGAAGGTTGAGAACGCCTGTTTGGCCGATGAGAGAGTGCAGCAGCAGATCCGCAGCCTCGATCTGCCCAGCTGCGCGACAGTTGTTGTTGAGCCGTGGGCCTACGCTACAGATGGGATGAACGACATGACCCAGAGAATTACAATGGTAAGAATCCCTGAGCCCCCAGTCTGAAATTACCTATTCGCATCTCGGAATCACTGACATGGGCGGGAAGTGTTGGTTCTACTGTCGTCTCCTGGAGAACCCTGATGCAAACTATTATGCCTATCCCCTCGACCTCTGCGCCGAGGTCTCTGAGCAACTACAGGTCACAAAAGTGTATCGGCTGCCGACGTCGCCTCACGAACGCGTCCACAACGAGGACCGCCCCTTTGACCGTCAGAGGGTTCACGACACAGCTCTCAGCGAGTACCACCCTGAACTGCGGCCGCCCCCTCGAACCACAACCAAGCCGTATCAGGTTGTCCAGCCCGAGGGACCCTCGTTCAAGATTCGTGGAAATCATCTCACCTGGGAGAAGTGGAGTTTCAGGGTAGGCTTCAACTACCGCGAGGGCATGACTCTCCATGATATCCACTACGACGGGCGGAGTCTCTTCTACCGTTTGGCCCTCGCCGAGATGTTCGTGCCATACGGTGACCCTCGGGCACCCTACCCTCGCAAAGCCGCATTCGACCTCGGCAACGACGGCGCTGGTCTGAATGCCAATAACCTACAGCTTGGTTGCGATTGTCTTGGTATGGCCATCTCATGCGGATCATATCATGAAATGCCTCACACGCTAACCTGACTTGAAAAGGTACAATCAAATACTTCGACGGCTACCACAACACCTCGACTGGAAAGCCACTCAAGATGCCGAACGTTATCTGTTGCCATGAACAAGATGACGGTATTCTATGGAAGCACACAAACTTCCGTACAGGAAACGCCGTTGTCACGCGGTCACGGATCCTTGTATTGCAGACCATCATCACCGTCAGCAACTACGAATATATCTTTGCATTTCACTTCTCGCAAGACGCTTCCATCTTTTTCGAGGTTCGCGCTACAGGTATCCTCTCGACCGTGCCCCACGCCGTCGGGCTGAAGGAGAAAGTTCCCTATGGCACTGTTGTCGCCCCCGGCGTTCTTGCTCCCTATCATCAGCATATTTTCAGCCTGCGGATCGATCCCGCGGTCGACGGCCATGCGAACTCACTTGTAGTCGAAGAGTCGAAAGCGCTGCCTGTTGGCGACCCTTCCGTCCACAACCCGTTCGGCGTCGGCTATATCGCCGAGCAGAAGGTCGTAGAGCAGGAAGGAGGATTCGATCTAGATCTTACAAAGGCCCGTGTCTTTAAATTTATCAACGAGAGCACCATCAACCCCATCACCAACACCCCTGTCGGTTTCAAGCTCCTGCCAGCGTACAGTCAGATGCTTCTTTCCCATCCGGACTCATACCACGCGAAACGTTCCGAGTTTGGCAAACACGCTGTCTGGGTAACGCGGTACGAGGACGATGACCACTTCCCATCTGGCAAGCATACTATGCAGTCCTCTGGCGGAGATGGCATTGCGTCTGGTATTGCGAAGCGGGACGCCACGGGGATGTCCCACTCGGTCAGAAACAGCGATATCGTATATGGCACACCTTTGGGTCCACACACAACCCGCGTATCGAAGACTGGCGTTATGCCTAATGAGAGATGATGGTCGTTTGAAACCCGTGAATTTCTTCTTAGGTAACCCTGACTGACGTTGCAGTTTCCA